TTGTTCATAGAATATATATAGCTACTAATCCTGTAACTCTAATACCATTCATAATACAAAGCATAACAATTAGCTTTGCTAATAATCTGGCCTTAACACTTGGGGAAAAAAGCCAGATCTTTAAGATTTACTTGTGGGGTAGTAGTGTTGCTGTCATCTGACTCTCAAGGGGAATGAGGTTTCATAAACTAAGCACTAGCAAATTACTGTCAACAAACCAATTGATGGATGGATGGATGAATTCCCTTTTTAGAAGTTGTACTGCAGCAACATATGAAGGTCTCCTGGTTGAATATAACTTAATTTACTAGATTTTCCAAATGCACCGAGCCATATGTCATGATTTCAAAGCTGAATGGCTGAACTCCATATAGATTTATAGCATCTTACCTAGAAATTAAATATATAGTACAAGGCAATTATAAGTAAAATCTATAGTTAAGCAAATGGAAGAAAATACATCTAGAACCCTTGAAGATTTAGATGTCTTCCTGGGGAATGGAGATCAGATTATTAGTTGGACCATATGAGATTAATTGTGGCAGATTGGGTTTTATCTTGGTTATGAGATGGATGCATGGATGGTTTTAAAATCAGACTCACAATGGACATTCATAACAATTTTCAGTCATTTTGTGGATGGAATAGCATCCAGACTGAATTCAGGAAAATCCTTATTGGGAGTTTTTCTGGGCTCCTCTTTTTAAAAATTTGCTCATGAGTTTTAGATTAAATCTGATTTATTTGAGTTTTCACCTGGGAAAATTTCTCCTGGGAAAATTCCACTTTTCACATTTGAAGTATTGGGAGCCTGGTTTGTTTAGGACACTTGCCTCAGTGGTATGATGGAGGTGATGTTTGACATGTTATCCAAGACTTGATTGGGTTTCACTCAGAGGGGGTATTCTGTCGGTTTGCCCCAGTTCAGGCAAACCAGTAGGGTGGCACTCCACCCACGCACCCAGATGTCATTGCGGATGCTCTGTACATGTGGAGAAGCTCCGCAAGCGAGCACGCATGGACTCCCAGTTCCAACCGGTAGCGAAGGTAAGAGAAAACCATTATCGGTTTAACTCTACTTCAAGTATAGAGAAGCACAGCAAAAACTTTAAAGAAGGAATGCAAGGGCAGTTAGTAAATACCAGTAAGCCCTAAACAAGAAATGGATTTGATTGGGGTGGGGGGCTATGAGAGGGAAGATAGAGAAACTGGTATAATAGTCCTTGTGAAATACATTTTTTCTGATGTACGTGGTCTATCATCAATAACATCTGGTGTGATCACAATCTATTTTTCTGCTGTCACCAAAGGTCTGGAATCCATCAGCTTCTGCACCCTCTCTCCCACACTCTGTGGTCATGGGACTCAAGATAGACTTATTCAAAAACCTGGCCAAACAGTTGGGCCATGAATTATTCCCACTGCTTGAGCACAATGACTTAACAATATCAGATTATACTGGCTCCTACCTTAGCAGTATGTGTGTTCTTTCTACCTTGTGGGAAAAGTCCTGAAGTTACTTCTGGTACAGTCCAGTTCAATCCTAGCTAGGAGTTCACCATGATCTTTAATACTGAGAAGAATTAGATTGCTTGTGGTAGAAATCAGTGCGTTCTTTAACTTCTTCAATTCTAACTGAGGTGAGTCTCTTGTCTTCTCTCTGGCTGTTAAATTTAAATCTTTCCACTTCTCTCTGGCTGAAATTTTTCCTCTATTCTCTGGCATTCCACCTATTCTTTTTAAATAAAGCATTTCATTATATAGGAGACGAGGGCTGGTGTGTGGAGGAATCTGGCTTGGCCTACACAGAGAACATCTCTGCTAGGTAAAAATTCTGCTTCAAACAGAAGGTATATATTTTATTTACCACTGTCCTGGTAAGCAGTACAGTGTGTTCTTGAAAATAAATTAGTACAGTGTATTTTTCTTTCTTTGAATATATTTCTTCTTATATGTATAAACTATTTTAATAAAATCTAAAGAAAAATTGCCAACAGCTCCTTACATGACTTCTTACATTCTGGACCTTATGGACACTTAGAGCAAGTAAAGAATGTTGCTAGAGTAATTTAGCTAGTTTCCACAGTGTTTCAATCTTATAGCAATACAGAACTGGAGCAAAACAAACGTAGAGCAAGTTACAACTTGCTACGTACTACTTTCCATACTCAGTGTCCACATCATTTTGAAAATAGTTTTTCAGATGTTTTGTTCATTATTATTTGGCACCAAACTTTTATTTTAGAAACTGTAATAACTTTTGAGTGGTATATAATAAAACAATTACCATATTTTTCCATCTATAACATACCCCCATATATAGGACGCTCCCCTACTTTTTTTTAACCCCAAATTCAGAAATTCAGCGAAAAGTGTCTCAGGGGATGGGGCGGAGCCTGCACATAAGGCGGCAGCCTAGGGCCAAAGTGCCAGTGGAATGCCAGATGGTCAGAAAGAGTGCTGAAGCAAACAGGTGTCCTGCCTGCAGTGCCTATGCCGGATGCCCCTTCCCCGCCAGAGCTGGAATGCTGTCGTGTTTAAGTGCCGGTAGATGCCAGCCTTCCCTCCGGTGGGCCTCAGCAATTGCTGGATAGAGACGGGCCTGTTTCAGCATCTGGTGCCCAGAGGCCCTCACTTGCTCCAAGCATTTCTTTGCCTATTTGATTTCCAGCTCCATTGCATTTCTTGCCATCATGTGCAAGGAAACAAAAGTTCATGGGACTAAAAAAAATAATTCCAACTTCGCAAGATCTTTTTTTTCACGAGAATTTGGAATTGATTGAACTTTTTTTCTAGTCCCACAAACTTATTTCTCTGCACACAACGGCAAGAAATGCAATGAAAAAATGCGACAGAGCTGGAAATCAGGGAGGGAAAGAAATGTTTCAGAGAAGTGAGGGCATCTGCAGCATGGCACTGTGCTGCAATGGAAAAATGGGAAACCAAGTAGCTGGCGCAAGGGAAGGAGGCTGCTTTCCCTCTTCTCCCTCCTACTTCCCTCATGCCGGCCACGCCATTTGCCATTTCTCCATTGCAGTGCAGCACACCGGATCTACTTTCATAGCCGGGGGTGGGGTGGGTGTAATTTAACAACTGGGTCAGGTTGGTCACGGTGGGAGACTCGTCCCACATGTGTGGCAGAGCTGGAAGATGGGGATGGGCCATGCCTCCCACAATGGCCAACCTGACCCTGGACAAGTGGTTGTTCTCTCAGCCCCCCCCCCCCGTGTATAAGACATCCTTCCATTTTTAGGTAAACTTTTTTTTTAAGTATTGTCATATACACAGAAACATACGGTAAAAGACAATAAAACATACAGGGCCACCAGCCACTCTAATGTAAGGCCTGGAGAAAAATCCAAGTTTTCAAACTCTTGAACATATCCTGAGGAAGAGTCAGTTATATTTGAGGAGGTAGAGCAGGATGTTGTTCCAAAAGAGAATGTCTCAACCCACTTCCTAGATCCCATCAGGTGACATTGTTAAATAGATGTAAAGGGTAATAATTCAAATGATTTAAAGGTAATAACCAAAAACACAATTACCTCTTCCTAAAAGAAGACTGTGGAACAATTATGTTTTAAACCTCTAAGAGAAAAAAAACAACCAGTACCTAAACTGCAGCAAAAGGACTACTGGTGTTTGAAACATAAAACAAGCCTTTTAATTTTTATATATTCTTAAAATTCTTGCATTTTTGGTAAGACAGTTCAAAGTAAGGTGAGACTATTGTATGGTTATGAGTACTATTTAGCATTTAGTATTAATTTAGTATACTTTTCTCTCAATGGCTGATATTTCATTCTAAATCACAGAGCTGAAAGAATAAAAGGCAGACAAATATTCTTCAAATTTCAGGTTATTTGGAAAACATGGCAAAGAATAAATGGAATGAAAGTTAAGATAGAAAACGGAATAAAAAGCACAATTATGTCCCTATAAGAGGGTTGTGGAACAAATATATATCTTTTAAATGTTTAAGAGAGGGAAAACATTTAAAGGAAAAAAGAAATGCTCTTTAAAATATAGGAAACAAAACTCAAAAGTGGTAACAAATCTGCAAATACATTTGATTTGTTATGGACCCTGAGGACTTATATTAAAAAACACACTTCATTTTTTAGGATTAAAAGACAGTGCTTCAGGGCATAATGAGAGACAACTCTCGAATCATCAATGCATGCACGTGATCACTTTCAGGTGATATGTATCCCAGGTATTGGTTGAAACCCATATGTATCCCAGGTATTGGTTGAAACCCATACATACAAAGCTGGCCAGTAGAATTTCTTGGATTTCGTGCTCCTCACTATTCTTCCTCTTCTTGCAAAGGATCTCATACCTCCCCAGCTCTTTGGGCAATGATATGACAATAATAACAATTTGACAATAATTTAAAGTGGAAACTAGGAAGGTGGTAAAAAGCGGCAAGGAGATGGGTCCATGTAGGATCGTTTTAAGTAGAACAGTGCCCTCAAGATGAAGCTGTTATCCTCTAGAGAACCGGGGGGGTATGTCTCACGGAGAGGTTGCCATAATCAAACTCTGGATGGAACTCATCCTGTACTTGGAAGGAAAGTTAAAGGGGGGAGGGAAATGGAGCGATGCAATTACGGTATAAAGAGGGGGGGGGTCTCCTTCCAATAAAGGAAAAAAAAACCGGGGTGAACCGAAAAGACGAGGAAATAGAAGGGCCCAAAGAAATAGTAATAGGCGAACGTTTCCATAGAAGAAAGATGGAAACCCCTCCTGACGGGAACGCTACTCTCTGGGTACCGAAGAAAGAACCGACAGAGGAACGGCCTTGATCTCCTCGTACATCGCTCCACCCCTCAGACATCCACCCGCAAAGGATCACGTCATCCTTTTTGCTCACTGCACATGTGCAGCATTGCGGTTCTTGCTTCCATTCCTAACCCCCCCTCCTCGAAACATCTGGGCAGGGAGGGAAGGAGGGAGGGCGAGCGGGAGGGGAGGGGGCGGCGGCGAGGGAGCGTCCTGTTATGCTTGTTTGTCCGCTGGTCTGTCGGGCCTGCTTTACAGCCCGGCGCGCGGCCCTGGCCGCTCCGTCATGGAGGCAGCAGCGGCGGCGCCGGCGGCAGAAGCGAGGGCCGTTGAAGCAGGCACAGCCAACGGAGCGAGCGCCGCGGCGGTGGCGGCGTCCCCTAATCTCTTCTTTCCCCGCCGGACAACTTGAGCTGTCCCGCCTCGCGGGGGCTTCTCCAGCATGAGCGGAGGAGGGGGAGGAAGCGACGGGGTCGGTGGCGGCGGCAGCAGCTCCTCTCCATCTGCTCCCGGCCGGTTCGCCGACTACTTCGTGATCTGTGGGTTGGACACCGAGACTGGCCTGGAACCGGACGAGCTCTCCGGTGAGTTACTCAGCCCCGCAGTCTCTGGAAGCGCAGCAGCTTGGACGGACCCGGGAATTTGCTGCCGCCGGATGCATGGCGTCGTTTGGATGCCCTGGAGGAAGGGAGGAGCGGGGACGACTGTAGATGGTGCTTTGCCCCTCTTAGGGCCCGGGCAGATAACGCGCACTTTCTCTCTCCCCCTCCCCGTACATCTCTTTCTCTCGGTCTCTCTTATACGGACATACCGTACACACACACACGCACACACAGTGAGAGAGAGTGAGAGAGACAGAGGGAGAGGAGAAACACGCACGGGGAGGGGGGAGAGAAAAAGAGTGTGTGGAGAAACACACACACACACACACACACAGAGAAATACATACACACGGAGAAACAGAGAGAAGGGGAGAGGGGGAAAGAGAGGGAGGGAGGGACACACACACACATTCGCTTTTGACAACCACACTAACGGAAAAAGCTTCACAAATGCCTTGGGTGTGCTGCGTTGACCCCGCCAAGGGCGGCTTAGTTTAACATAACGGAGCTCGAACTTCTTTTGAGCATCGATCCACCCTCCCTCGGGCTGCCTAAGAGGACAGTGACAGATGTGGGTGGGTGGGGAGTATGGGGGTTCCCCCTGCTTGGTGCGGAAAACGAAGGGTGCTCTCTGGGATGAGGCTGAAAACAGCTGCTGCTTTGTTTTGGCCACAACAGGAGCTTATTTTTTCCTCTCCTTGAGCTATCAGAACTCCCTAATTGCTCCAGTTGGTACTTTGGAGGGCAGAGCCTGCTTTTTAAGATTGTGGCAGTCACCACATAAGATACAGGAAACACTTTTCTTGGTTTTTCCTGTTTTCAAAAACTGTTCTGTTTTCAGATTAACAGTCTTTGATTTGTGTATTTTTGACTTAACATCCATTTCTGTGGAGAGTGGTGTTATACTTAAACATATTAACTTGACACATTTTTTAAAAGAAATGATTAAATTGCATGCAGAAGAGAAAGAAGAAGTAGAAGAAGTTACAGAAGTATTGCAAAACTATTATGGCTTTTGGGGCATCTGCCAATATTTTAAATTATTTTCTATCTTCTGCACATATTCAAGAATGGCTGGATAAACTAATCTCCCAGTTGAGAGAGTAACACTTATGTAGTTAGGAAATGGATTCAGTATATAACCATAATATTTTCTAAGCTAGCATAAGAATTACTAAAAATATATTTTAATTTTGTTCCATTGTTATGTGTGAAGTACTTCCAGGATTTAATTACTTTGTATAATCATATTATATTTTTTAAAGTGAAATATAAAGGATTGGGAATATAACTTTCCATTATAATGCAATCAACTTTATATATACTGCCTTTAATAATGTTCTATATTAAAATGATAGGCTTGTGAAATCATTTACTTTTTACAACCCCAGGATCTATCATAACAGCATAAAACTAAACTAAAATGTGGTATAAACATTTATTGTTTAATACAATATTTAATTAAGCAAACCATAATGTGGCATTTTAAGAAGACAACCATATAGTCAACATTTCTCCAGTTTGAAGTAGTATGCCATTTACCATCCTATCTGGATCAGGATGCTTTGATCACAATACCACTTCAACCTGATTAAATACTGTTCTATATGGGTTATAATTGTAGAGAACATGGAATCTACTACTGGCACAAAATTTAATAGCTAAAAGAACATGCCATGTAAAATAATAATAATCCCTTTAATAAAGTTACAGTGTAATATATCAGTAGTTTTTTGGACCCAATTTAAAGCGCTGATCGCTGATAGTCACACAGAGGTTTTTTTAGTATTGGTATGGGTTATGAAAATTGTTAAATATGTAAACAAATGTAAAGAATCCTAACCCATATAGTTTATTTCAAAAACAGTTTAAATAAGTATTTACTGTTTATAAAACTGAGTGGAGCTGACAACCCTGAACATACTCACATATTCCTGGTTATAACAGTCTTATTTTTATCAGCAGCATACAGTACTGTATAGATTATGGAAGCATTTCATTATGGATCCTATCTGGAGTTGAATATCCTTGCTAATGTACTTCAAATCACCCAGAGCTTGTCAAATGAATACCAATCTGACTTTATTCTTTGTTCATACTTATGAATAACTTAAATTACTGTAATTTCTGAAATATTATGTGGAATAACACTGTTAGTTCCTTTATGTTAATTTTTTATTATAAAGTATTCTTGTTTAACATAAAGGATATTTTTTTCATTTACTGTTAGCAATATTTTAAATTTTGGTTCTCTTGTTAAAATGATATGTATGTTTATCTGTCAGGTTCATGCAGTGATAGAATTATTTTCAAAATATTTTGATAAAATTCATGAAAGTCAGGTGTTATTTTCTTCCTGCGCTTTCAAAGATTATATGTAATTATATTATATTTCCCTTAAAATGTTTAAAGTGTCTAGGACAGTGGTTCTTAACCTGTGGGTCGGGACCCCTTTGGGGGTTGAATGACTCTTTCACAGGGGTCGCCTAAGACCATCGGAAAACACATATATTTGAAAAAATACGGAAAAATAAAATAATTTTATGGTTGGGGGTCACCACAACATGAGGAACTGTATTAAAGGGTCACAGCATTAGGAAGATTGAGACAAACTGGTCTAGGAGAAAAAAAATCACAAACTGTAAAGATATCAGTGTGCATGCCAAGCTGAATCACTTAGTATTTCTTGCTTCAATACACTTGAAATTTTTGATTGTCAGTATACTGAATTAATTGAATGTATGCAGTAAGATCCCATTGGATCTCAAACCATATGCAGCATTATATTATAGATCGGGGGTTCCCAACCTTTTCTATATCCCGCACCCCTAGAATGCTTCTGATATATTCTCGCACCCCTTACAAAAGTAAAAAATTATATGCATATACTTATGCATATACACTACAATTTTGAAACTTCTAAACCCAAGTTTTTTCATCTCGCGCTCCCAGTTGAATTCCCCTGCTATAGATACTCTCATTCTGTGAGCTGAAGCTAGCACAATCTGTAATTCAGATATTAATTGGAATCCAAGGAGAGTGGGAAAGGGCCAACGTAATATGAAAATAATCAGTCATTGCTTATGTAACATCATTTACTATTTATATTAAAATTTATCATACATTTCATGTTTTTGTGTTCCATATAATTGCTTTGCAAATCATTGTATCCTTACAGTACATGAGCTTATATGGTGATGTAATGAAGGCATAGCTTCTAAAGAGATACTATATAACACTTGCCCCAATCCCTTTAAAATCTTTATGAATACATTACCTTGCACCCTTCAGTTCTCATAAATAGACCTTTCTAGAGAGTGCCTCATCTAATAATTAGCCTAAGTTTGAATTAGCCTGTTTTTGTTTCTATATATAGTGTACGTTCAATAGAGTGTACATACAAAAAATTGAGAAGAAAATGTATTATAAGAACCCTGTGGTCTAATGTATTGCTGTCTTGTCTGAAAATATTTGTCTTTATTAGTTCTTAAAGCAAAGACTACTTTTATGCCACTTGCAAATGTTGCATTTTGTTCATATTTCAATAAGCTAAAATAAAGGGGTGCAGTAACATATTTTGGTTTTGCACAGTTACTTAGATTGGAGTATTAATTGTTGTTCACTGTATTTATGTTTTGTGTTTCTTTCCTCTTGCCATTACTTTACCATTGACAACTTACTACTGAATAGGCATTTAAAATTGCATGTCCATACTGTTAGTACTATCAGATTTGGCCTTAATGAAAATATAAAATGAGTTAGTACCTAGAAGATCTGATTAATTTCTTTAACCTGTTTTATTTTATCCAGGGATATTTTGTGAAAATTATTAAGACATAAACTTTCTGTAACCTATCATAGATGAAATATTATCCTAGACACCCTTATCCTCAAATTTTAATATAATTACTAGGAATTTTTTTTGCAAATTAATCTTAAATGTAGAAATCATTGCTTTATTACCCAAGAGTTTTTGTAGTTCAAACAAAGTGATCATTTCTACAACTTCTGCTTTTAATTTCCTTTTGAATTTCATGTTTAGAAATCTTCTGTTGACTCAACCATGAGTGAATATTCTCAGTGCATTGTAGCGCATAGTAAGAATGTCATGTACTTATACAGTGAAGTAGACTGATTGACTATTTGTACATAAATGTAGTTCTTGGGTTACAACTGCAATTATAACACTAATTTACATTGTTAAGCAATGCGGCCACAAAGTGTGTCATCACACTTTACCACCATAACTCCAGGATTATGTAGTTCGGTAAGCAGGAAGAGGCGGAAATTCCAAGCAAAGAGTGCACGGGTGTGCTCAGGGCTGCGGGGCGGAGGGCTGGTACACACAGGTGCTATAGAGTGAGATGGGAATTGAATTGAATTAAATACTTTCTTTGGCCAAATGTGATTAGATACACAAGGAATTTGTCCATGGTGCAGAAGCTCTAAGTGTACATGCAAAGCAATAGAATAATGATAATCATAATAATAATACCAATAAGAGGGGGAGTGAAGATAACAGAAGGATAAATAAAGATATTTATTTTATAAAAGATAAAGGTCTACAGGTGATGTGAGATGATGTCGTGCAGTGACTTCTAAGAGCAAGCTAGGTGGCGAGGGCCTCTACAGAGTGCAGATAGCAATAGCAATAGCCAGGGATGTAGGGTTACAATAACGTATAAGATCCTCAAGATCTCATTCTCCATAATGGAGCTCCCTGGGAGAAAAACCAGCAGGGTCAACTTATAGGAGAACTTGCAACCTTCCCTGCTGGTTTCCCCATTGACCTTCCTTGTTGGAAGCTAGCAGGTAATGTTACAAATGATGATCATGTGATCAGGCAGGCTACAATGTTGTAGTCACGAGCTGGATAACTGAGCACCCAGATCATAATCATATAATGTGGGAATACTCCAATAGCTAAAACTACATACCACTGTAAGTCTACCCCCCAGGAAATTAAATCCACTTGAATTTTA